CTAGTTGGTTTAATTCAGTATAATTCTTTTTTAGTATTGAGAAATTGAAATTTGCTCCGTTATTGTTTTTTAGTACTGAGAAATTGAAATTTGCTCCGTTCGAAAAGAAAGTTTGATTTGGTTTGAATAATGTAATTGGAAAGACAATCTGAACCAACATTTTAAATACATAAATAATCAATTTAAGACTAGTAGAAAATCGACTTGAAAATTTATTATTATTACTAAGAGTCTAAAGAGGCGAGAAATATCAAGTTGGTCAAAAAAATCATAAAATTCGGCATTAGTGTATGTATGTAAAGGGAATAAGATATCTTATAGCAAAAAATCCCTAAAATTCAGTATCAATGCATGAAAAGTAAAAAAAAAAGAAGAAGATATATTAGCTTTGATAAAGTCACAAATTTAAAAAAAAAAACTTCGCTTTTACAAGTTTGGTTTGATTTTAGTCAAATGCCCAAAATCCAGAATGCACAAACAAATCACAGTTTTGCATTACTGAATCCTAAGTAATTGAAATCGAATTCTCAAAGCTTCAATTTAAATATATTGCACGCTTAACCAAGGAGTTTTAACTCCATCAGTGTTTCACAAGATAAAACACCAGACCAGACCAAATTGGCCAGTGAAGTTTGGACATAGAAACAGGAAAGATTTTGAGACTGCACCAAAATATACATCTAAGCTCTAAAAAGAGATTTCTTTTGAGGCTTTTACCTTAAGTTTGCAACGCTACGGGTTACTCTTCTCCCACTGGCACCACTAGTTGAGGCTAAAGAAGCTTGAGAAGAGTGATTTTCACTTGAGTCTCTGTGGCTCCTAAGTTGTCTTCTTCTCTTGGATTTTGGAGCTGTGGCTTGAGTCTCGTGTTCCTCCTCATCATCATCATTCACAGTTTCTTCTACAGCTTCTGCTTTTGTAAAGGTACCCAAAGGCCATGGCTTTCCACAACCAGAGCAAACTTTACCATCCTGCAATTTCGATATGTGATCAGAAAGGAAAATACTATTGAAGTCAAACTCAAATCCAATGGTCTTGAGGATAATCTGAAGAAGCTGTGTGTACCCTTTGAGATAACAAGTTTTTGAGGCAGTACTTGTGTATCCGGACAGCGCAACCTTCGCTTGGACACAAATCCGCCTGGAAACGAGTGTCAGAGAACAAAACATCAGATATGAAATCAGCAGCCAACATATCATTACAATGTGAAATTTTTAATGTGAATTTAAATCCTATCGGGTTTCTTCAGAATGCAAACCTTTACTCCAGCTTCATTGCAGATCTCACAGGATGGAACATCATTGTTCCTGAACCAACTGCGTAGGTCAAGAAGAGATCTTATACCAAGTCCAATATTGCCTTCTTTTGTGCGGCACAGCCATTTGTCCTTTACAAGTTCATCCAGAGCTTTCTCCTTTTGCGACATTGAAAAGTTCTTGAATGCAGGAGGGACTTGCTGTTGACTGCTGCTGGCTTCACTTGGTAACTGAGACATTAACACAAGATCTGTCAACAGTAACAAAGAAACTAAATCTGTATAGTCCAACCAAATGAATAGTAACAATAATGAATTTGGTAATACACAAAAGATCCCAAATAGGTGTCATCACCAAACAGGCAGAAAGAGAAATGCTGAGAAATTTGTGTTCTGTTTTTTATTATAATCCAACAATCATGCCTGAGGGTGGAACACTTTATATCAATACAAGAAAACTATAACTTATGAGTGAAAAAATTGAGATTCGTTTTTCATTGCAATCCAACAAACATAAACGTGGTGAAACACTTAATATCATGCAAGAAGAATATAACTCAGAGTGCATGAAAATTTGATCTACAAAGTCATTAGCGACAAAGTTATTTATCGTTTCAGATTATATCTTATACAGAAGAGGAAATTTTCAAGCAACTCTGTAAGATGGTAGCAGTTTTGAAGTCACTATGATCAATTGACTGAACAAAGGTGTATGATAATTACTTTTGTCACTAGATCAAGAGTTAAAAATATAAATGTGTCAGAGAATATGATTTGACCTGATACTCCAATCGGATATTGAGGGCATCAAAGCTTGATATGCAACCTTGAGCAGCTTCATCCTGTGCAATTGCTTCTATCTGCCAGAAGTTAAAGTCATCAATGAAAAAGGAGGCTCAAATCAAAATGCACACATAGCAAGAAAAGAGAATGACAAAAGAGACTCAAATCTTTACAACACCAAAAGGATTAAAATGGATCAAACTTGTACTTTCTAATCTAATTTATAACAAGAAGACAAAGAAATTAGATCAACAAGGAACAAGAACACTAGGCGGACAAACACACAAAAAAAAAAAAAAGAGTGACTTACAATGCCTTTAAAGAATGCAATCTGAGGAACAGAATATTTTGTGCCGAGTTTGGATTGCTCATCAGACACATTGTTCACCACTCCATAACAAACTTGGCCATCATATTGATCTCTACAAGCCCTCAACTCAAAGTGAACATATGAGAGTTCCTTGTTTATCTCAAGAAGATACTTGTCAAATATCTTTTTCACAGTTCCTGCAACAAAAAAAGAGCGAGGCAGTGTTCAACGAATAACCATTTCCTTTAACATTCAACATAATGAAAACCAGAATTTCGAAATCATTTTTGTTTCCTATGCTTAACTCATTCCACATCATGGTTGAACCTAAGACCACATTACCATCATATACATCAAACAACCAGCACTAAAGAGTAGAGATTCAGCCATAGTTCAATATGTTACTCGCTGTATCATCCAAAAACACAAGTCCACAATAATAAACCCATCAATCCAGCACCATATTGAAATTGTTAAAAACTAGCTAGAAACTGCAGGATTCCAGTATTCATCAATCAAGCAATAATGTCCCACGATTACATCTCAATCGATATAAAGCAATCGAATTTAATTTCCTAAATCATAAGAGCGGCGGATCATTCACAACTTCGCCGGTAAAAACTGTCGTAAATTACAGATTTTTGATGCAACAAAAACCAATCCGACACATACCCAGAAAACTCTACTTCGAAATTCATCTGAATCGAGTGAATCATAGGAGAGACCGACCTGGGTTTCTGCCGGTGACGCCGGTGAAGATTGAATGAAATTCTTTCTCCTTGAGAGGACCTCGCGAAATCAAAGCCTGAATTAGCGTGTGGTGCTTCCAGCTAAGTGATACCATCTTCAGACTACCAAGAATTTCACCCTTGCAAAATTAGGGATTTCAGTGAACTAGGGTTTTTTTTTTTTGGG